TGAATATCGGACAGACCAGAGATCTGTCGAGTCTTCAATGGTATGACTCCAGAGCTATAGTTCCCGCTAAAGACGTGTTTGACATAAACAACAATTTTGTAAAACAAATTCACTGCGATATCTATACCTCTGGACTTACATTTCACGACGTGTTGGTCGCCACAGGTATTCAATAAACATTTATAACTAATTGTTGATAAAACATAATTTAAACGTAATATTCAACTTTTAGGTCGTATCCCAAGTGGTCCTCAATTGTTATTTACTGATTGTCTGATCGGTTGTGAGTTTGCGGGCCGTCGTGTGGACACTGGGCAACGGGTGATGGGCTTTGAAATGACCCGTTGTTTCGCCACATCTATTAATGCAAACGAGAAAATGATAACTAATATACCGGAGCACTGGTCGATGGATGAGGCGGTGACTATACTCAGCACTTATAGCACTGTATGGTATGGACTCATAGAAAGAGCTGGACTTAAGAAAAGTAAATTAAAAACTACTAATTTTCCAAACATTTAATAATTAAATCGCAAATAATTTCTTAGATGAGAGTATTTTAATACATTCGGGCGCCGGAGGTGTGGGACAGTCGGCGATAATCATCTGTCAGTACTATAACTGCAATATATATGTGACGGTCGGCACCGAAGAGAAGAAACAGTTTTTGATCAAAAAATACAATATACCGGAGGAGAAGATATTCAGCTCAAGAGATATAATGTTTAAATACAAGATAATGGCGTCGACCAAAGGAAAGGGTGTGGATCTCGTGCTAAACTCGTTGGCCGGCGACAAACTGGACGCGAGTTACGAGTGTGTAGCGAATGGCGGCCGGTTTGTGGAGTTGGGAAAGTATGATCTGGTGCTCAACAAACAACTCGGAATGTTTGACTTCTTGAGGGACGTGTCGTTCATTGGCGTCGCCGTCGATATCTGTCTTATGGAAAAAGAGGACTTTGCTCTCAACTTCTTTGAGTGGATGCATAAGAACTCGAGTAATGGTTGCGTTAAACCAATCAATACTACTGTGTTTATGGCCACCGAAGCCGAGAAGGCCTTTCGATACATGACTACCGGTAAACACATTGGAAAAGTGATGGTTAGGATCAGAGATGAGGAGTCGGATAAGGGAGCCGTGAAGGCAGTGAAACCCGCCATTGATTTGCCCGTTACTATCAAAACCTATTTTAACCCAAATAAGGTGTATATAATAACGGGTGGTTTGGGTGGCTGTGGACTAGAGTTAGTCCATTGGATGTTATATATGGGCGCAAAACGTATTATATTGACGTCGAGGACCGGCGTTACAACCGATTACCAGCGCTATGTCATTAAGCGTTTAGACTATTTTGGAGACAAATTTAAAATTTTTGGGGCAAAAATAGTGGTCTCGACCGCCGATTGCCAGACACTGGAAGGCGCGAAACAATTGATACACGAAACTCTCAATTTGGGACCCATTGGAGGGGTATTTCATTTGGCACTCGTATTGAATGATTGTCTTATTGAAAATCAAACAGAAGACAAGTTTTGCGAATCCATTGACACAAAGCACAAGATCTTTGCAAATCTGGATCAACTGACCCGACAATTGGAGTATAAATTGGATTATTTTGTAGTGTTTTCGTCCGTCACTTGTGGTGTCGGAAACGCCGGGCAATCAAACTATGCGTTCGGAAACTCCATGTGTGAGCGTATATGTGAAGAGAGACGTAGGGATGGTCTGCACGGACTCGCCATACAATACGGACCTATCGGTGATGTCGGAGTGTTTAGCGACTCTTCAGATCAAATGATTCAATTGACTAATTTTCAAACCCAGAGAATTAACTCTTGTTGTGATGTTTTGGACAAATTATTAGCAATTAAACAACCGATTGTTACCTCTTATGTGAGTTTATCTTTCTCTCTCTCTCAAAAATTATTAACACTTTACAAAAATCATTTTAGATCAGAGCCGAGAGAGCAGTTCAAAGCGGTGGCAATCGACAGAAACGGATGGTTAAAGAGCTGTGGCGAGCGCTGGGTATAGACCCGGACACTACTCCCGATCATTTGACTCTCGGCGAGATTGGTATGGAGTCTATGTTTGCCGTTGAGTTACAGCAGGAGTTGGAGAGAGAGTGGAATATCAAGATGTCTATCAATCACGTGAAGAACATTACGATTAAAATGCTGAAGGACTACGAGGCGGGTCGGGTGGAGAACATCAAGCGCTATGTGGACGACGTGAAAGTGGCCAGGGCCAAATTAATGCGCTACCGGTTTGTAATACCGAGCGAACGGATCACACGCATCAATCAGGTCACTACCGGACGGCCCGTGTATTTCATGCCCACATTTGACGGCGGGTTCCGTAACTTCGAGGAGTTTGGCCGCCGTATTGATCGGCCTGTCATTGGCCTGAATTGGACGCGAGAGTTGGACAATTTCAACACGCTGAAAGAGTACCAAGCTCATTTCACCAAATTACTCGACGAGCTCGAACCCAACGGTGGGTACGATGTGGTGGGATATTTTGACGGCGCTATGATTGGCACAAAACTGCTGCGTCGGGCGCGAGTGGATCGGGCGGTGATCATTGACGTGCTGTCCGAGAGTCGCTTCAACGAGGACTTTGTGACCGACGAGTACATATTGGACTTTATATTTGAGTTCATATCGTATGAGATCCCGGAGTCGTTCCGCGAGAAGATCCACAGAGACATGAAGACCGAGCCCGACATCGACGGCCGCATCCGCCGCGCCTGCGCTGAGATCAGAGAGTTTGCCGGCAAAGGACTGGTGGCCACAGATCTGGAAGCGATTATTCGGAACGCATTCAAAAGGGCTAAACTCTTGTCCACACATCGCGTCGCGAAGAAGCGAA